GGGTTCTGACAAAACATGGTCCACGGGAGGAGGAAATGGTAACTCCTCCCAGTATTCTTGCCGTGAGGACCCCATGAACAGTATGCAAAGGCAAAAAGATTTGATACCAAATGAGCACCCCACCCCACTCCACGCCACCCGCAGATCAGAAGGTGTTCAATATGATACTGGGAAGTATACTGCAGTGGGCCCCCATTTCTCAGTCTCTGGGCCACTCAACATTCTTCCTCTCCAGGCCCAAGTCCTCATTCATTGCTAATGGCTACTGGGGCTGTTGTGGGGAGGACAGTCCTTCCCAGCCTCTGGTGTTGTAGGGAGGCCGGGACAATGGTGACAACGTGGGCCTCAGTCTGTAGTTCTGGGACCCTGGGTTGAGGGGCTGGAAACATGGCAGCTCTCCCAGAGCTGAGGCTCCCACAGCAGCCAGCTTTTCCCCAGGCGTTCTGCGCCCATTGGTGCCGGCATCCCCTTCTTGTTTGGAGGACTGTGGCCTAGAGGCTGAGTCCCCCACCTCTGCCTTCCTCTTGGTCCAGAGTGAAAAAGAGAGGATGGTGAATCTCCTCCTCTTCTTGCATGAGGGGGGTGTCTATTTGGGGGGCAGAATTTTGCCAAAGTCCTAGAGGATCCTAGCAAAATTGTTGGCAGGAAGCAATAACAGCATCGGGCTTGTCAAACCTGCCCCATTCCAACCTCATCCTGCCTTTGTTCATCACCAGCACTCCCTGGGCGCCCGCACCTGCCAGTGATGGTGCCAAGGGCAGAGGGTGAAACGGACTAGACGCCCGTGGCCTGGAGACGACTCCAGGGATGGACGAGCAGACCCGCGGCAGGACACATAGCTCCTGTTGGGAGAGGGGTGCCCAACCTCAAGGGGCCATAGGAGTAAAGCACTGAGGAGGTGAGAGAGGGTCAGGTGGTCTGTCTGGGAACAGGGCTCCAAGCAGAGGCATCAGCACACGCATGGTCCCCGAGGCCAGAGAGAGCCTGGGGTTTCTGAGGGCCTGCGTGGCTGAGGAGGAGCAAGGGGGGCCTGGGGGAGGGTCTCTAGGGCACTGCAAGGACTCAGAGCTAAACTTCCTTTAGAGAACTCCTTGAACGTACAGATAAGCAACGAGTGGAAAATCAAAATCGGTCAAGGACCCAGACACAGTATTTCTTTCTAGGTTTCCTACCTTGGGTGTGCAGGGGCTGAATGACTTAATGTGGGCCCGTCCCACGGTGATAGCAATATTAAAATGACCTTTGAATGACTTTCAAAGCATCAACACCTTTGGTCTGTTTCAGGCAAACTGGAACAGATTTCCATGGCCCCTGAAGCATGGTGGTCCCACGTACCATGCCCACTGTGTCTTAGGGGCCTGGCCCAGGGAGTGGAACAAACCCACCATTTCTGGCATGAACCTTTCTTTAACCTGGGAGATGCAAATACAGTCAGTTCTAGACCTGGACTCTGGGTGCCAGTGAAGCTGTTCTGGGATCGTTACCCTCGTGTGAGGGCACAGTCGCCAGGCAGCATGCATTGTATCCATCTGAGATTCTCCATGGTGAGTGAGGCCTCCCAGATATCTGGCATTCTGGATGTATTTGGACTTCTTCTTTTTTTTTTTTTTTTAATGTTTATTTGGCTGTGTCGGGTTTCACGGGCTCTCTAGTTGTGGCATGTAGGCTTAGCTGCCCCACAGCACTTGGGATCTTAATTCCCTCACCAGGGATCGAACCCACATCCCCTGCATTGCAAGGCGAATTTTCAACCACTGGACCACCAGGGAAGCCCTCATTGGGACTTTTTAGCTTGTAAGACTCACAGCAGCTTCTTTTGGATTTTTATTTTCTTCACTTCAAGATGTATGTCTCAGCTTGTTCGATGATTTGCTAGTAGGTTTAGTGGACTCATCTTGAGGATGAGCAATATGGACGTTTTGCAAAGCATTGAAAGTAGCACTTCTAGAAAAACCTTCTTTTTATCACATTACATGTACCTTTTACAAACACATACAATGAAGCACCAAAGCAGCTCTATCTTTAAAGGAACTTCTCTATGCTGAAAAGAAAAGGCCACAACGAGAAACAAGAAAAGTATGAAATGGGAGGGCCCACCAGTAAAGGCAAACATACAGTAAGAGTAGGAAGCCATGCACACACACAAACATGATATCAAAACCAGTAATCATGAGAGGAGCAGAGTGCACATGCAGGATATTTGAAATGCACTGGAAAGGAAGAGATCAGCAACTTAAAACAATCATGCACGTATATATATAGACTGCTGTATCAAAATCTCAGGGTCACAACAAACCAAAAGTCTATTATCATAGATATACACACAAAAGAAAAAGGAATTCAAGTGCATCACTAAAGTCATCCAATCATGAGAGAAAAGAAGAGGAAAGGAAGCAAAAAAGATATACTACCCCACCTCCAAAAAAAAAAGCCAACAAAGAATACACTCAGTGGGGTTGTACAGTTTTGCTTATAAAGACATCTGGCATATATGATTTGGGATGCGGATTGGGAACAGGAAGGGGCAGCACTTGGGGCAGGTGGTAGAGAGGTGAGCCCCAGGGCTGGGAAAGACCAGGGAGGTTGGACACAGATTCCACCAGCAGCCACCTGTCCAGCTTCCCATCCAGAGGGGCTGCTCTACCCTTTTGGGGTGGTGGAGGAGGCCCCATGCATCGTCTCAGGTTACTGATAGCCTCACTATCGTTCCACAAGTGCTTCCTGGAAGGTCCCTCAAACTGGTTCTTATTCATGTTCCTAAGACAAGAGCGTGTCATGATCAGCCGAAGACCCCAGACTGGGGCCTCTCCCAGGTGACTGCTGCAGCATGACACTCCTGCCCTGGGGAGGAGCCCAGGCCTGCGGGGGTGGAAGAGGGGGAGGGTCCTGTTAGGTCAAGTGCTATGGAACATCAAACTTTTGCACTTTGGGCCCCAGAACCTGCTAAGGAGCCTTCCTTGGCATGTACATCAGGAAGAAGCCAGGAAGTTGCCAAGCTTCCTAGTCCTCAGCTTGGTCTTCCCGCGTGTCCCCTCTGCTTAGTCCAGTGCACACGATGCACACAGGTCCCACCCCAGGCTCAGAGCCTCCTTACCTGACGAAGGGAGGATGGGAGGGATGAGAGCCACGCACAGACATCTTTGCCCACAAGTGCATCCTGTAGGAACATCCACCACCCACACATCTTAGGTCTCCGGGAAGGAGCAGGAAGCCCCCATGCCATCCCCTAGGGTGTCCTAGGGACAGTGTGAATTCAGTGGCCTGTCCGGGGTGGGGCATCTGCATGCTGGGACTGGGATGGCATATGCTGGCTGGGGTCCTCTGGGGGAGGGGTTCTGGCTCTCTGGGACCTCAAACGCTCCCCACTCTCTCACTAGTCTCAGTGGGTACCAGACCATGGGGCAGAGTGTCTATGCCGGGTCTGAGATGACCCCACCTCTCCCCAGCCCAGAGACCAGGCACAGTGGCCAATACCTTCTGGAGCTTGAAGTTCAGGGAACCACCCCATCGGCGCCAGGCCAGTGTGCAGATCAGTAGGCTGAAGAGGACGACCAGGGCGAGGATGAAGATTACCTGGATCTGCCTCTTGTGTTCAGGATTAACAATGAAAGGGGTTGTGGTCATGTGCGGACCTGCGGAAAATGGGCGGGACCTCCCTCCTCAGTTCACCTGTGCAGGAGCCCCTGACCCCCTTGGGGACACCCTCGACGGGGACATCGCCTGTGGTTGGGAAGCACATGGGTGGCAGAGTGGCAGGGGGATGGATGCATGGGATGGGCAGGGCTCCAGGCACAGAGGGTGAGGGTGTCAGAGGAGGGAAGACCCAAGAGGGCTTTCTGGGGGCTCCCCTCCTATACCCCAGGATGAAGATAGAAACACCTACCTGCGGAAGGTGTGAGGAGCAGGTCTTGCGGCTCTGCCAAAGAGACACAGGGCAGGTTGGCGGGGGCCTGCCCAGGGTCTGCCCTGACGCAGCCCCTCCGCCCCAGGTATCAGATGAGCGCTGGATACAGGAGTTCATGAAGGCCTCACTGGGTTCCCCGTCCAGGGCCCCGCTGGGTTGGGAGTGCTCCTCCCACTGTTCCTGGTCCGTGGCAAAGCTGCACCCCTACTTCCTGTCCCCAGGGCTCAGGGTCAATATGACTGCATTAGAACAGGCGAAGGGGGTGGGTGGAGGGGTGGTGACTGGGGAAGCTTTGCAGCAAAGGGGTGGGGGTGGGGGGATAGGAGGTGTGCAGGGAGGGAAGGCGCCGGCCCCCTGAGCAGACGGGGAGAGTGACCAGGCCCGCATGCCGGGGCTGCCCTGAGGAGAGGCTCAGAGGGGGCACAGACGTGGGGTGGGTGGGGCAGGGTGGGAGTCCTCTCCAGGCCTCATCGCCGTGGCTCTGGGCACCTCAGGTGGGCAGGAGTCACCCCTCTCTAGTTGTTCCGCACTCCTACCCGCCAGACAGAGAAGCTCTTGGGGTCAACCCCCGCCTCAGTCGCTCCGCTCACCCGAGACATTCAGGGTGGTGATTTCGACATTTCTCTGGCGCCCCGTCAGATTCCACTTGTACTGCCCTGCCTGGGTGTCCTGGGCTTTCTCAATTATTAGGTGCGCCTCGCCCTCTCGAATCCAGAGCTGCCATCCATCCTGGCTGAAGTTTCCTGGGGCCTTTACACTGAAGATGAGCTTCCAGGGTGCCGTGTGGTTCGCTTGCAGGGAGATGTTGATGTGGGAGAAGGCATTGGAGATGCTGCAGGTCATCGTGGCTGGCTTGCCCCGCAACACAGAAACCACACCCCTGGTGCAGTTGGGGTGATCCCAGTCTGTGTGGGGGACAGTCACACATGTGGATCATGGCTGGACCTCAGGACATCCACTGACTGCCCTTCCTGGGGTCACTGGCACTACCTGGAGCCTGGGCCCCTCCTGGCCTGATCTAGGTCTCTCCTCCCACACCCGGCTTGCCCCTGCTGCCTCCCCCAACCCCCGGCAGAGTTGGGACCATGCAACTTACTTCCACTCTGAGCACTCCTGAAGGTGGCCAAGAACAAGAGGACCCAGAGCATCCTGGGGGCGAGGGGAGTGGACGCTGAGGTCAGCATGGCCAGCGGGACGTGGAGGAGTTTTAAGGCGTGCCTCGTCCTCCTTACTGGTCTTTGGGACGCTCGCTGGAGGAAGGAAAGCTGATGAGTCAGAGGTCCCTTAGGCTCCTTCGGGAGCCAGTGAGAGGGGCTGCACCTTGGCCAGGGTGGGCGAGGGTCCCCAAGCCCCTCCCTCTCCACTGTGTCCTGACCCTTCTCTACACCTTTATAGTGTCTGCAGTGGGACCACTGCCAGACAGATGAGAAACACAGATGAGACAGGAAACAAGTCCCTGGGAGACAAGTCCATTTATATTGCTGGGGTTATCTTGAATTTTATATAAAAGATGCAAAACTCCCTGAGCCGTGTATCCTGTAGAGATGGGTTGTGACACACAGAATCTTGTGTAGCCACTTAAACCTGACACCAACCTAAGACCACCTTGGATGCTCCCAGCCCCTCCTCTGCTCTTGTGTTCTGCAGCTTGGCATTTGGGGACATTTGGTCCACTCTCCAGATTTGCTTTTATCAACAAAAAGAGTCTTCCTGTGGAACTCGTGAGTTACAGTCTGGAAAGCAGAACTTTCACTTCCTCTGAAACAAATGCTCATCTCAGGCTTTGGCATCCAGTAAACTGACATTTGGGCTTCCCAGCTGGTGCAGTGGTAAAGAATCTGCCTGCCAATGCGGGACACACAAGAGATGAGGGTTCAATCCCTGGGTCAGGAAGATCCTCTGGAGTAGGACATGGCAACCAACTCCAATAGTCTTTCCTGGGAAATTCCATGGACAGACTCAGACATGACTGCGCAACTAACACTTTCACTTTTCATAATGACATGTATCCTCCATTAGGTACTACACAGAGGATGAGATGGTTAGATCTTATCACCAAGTCAATGGATATGAATTTGAGCAAACTCAGGAGATAGTGGAGGACAGAGGTGTCTGGCAGGTTACAATTCATGGGGTTACAGTCAGACGTGACTTAACGACTGAACAACAGCAAAAAGTCTCACTCTCGGAAAAATCCTCTCTGTTCTATCTATTCATCCATCCTTCCCCCCAACTCCTGACAGCCTTTGATCTTTTTACTGTGTCCAGAGTTTTGCCTTTTCCAGAATGCCATGGAGTTGGTACCCTTTGGTTTTGAATTCAGTGTCTCTGATCTTTTTTGTCCCCACTTCAGGGGTAATTGGGCAGAAGGGCCTGAAGCAAAGGGAACTGTGGATGTAATCACTTCCAGGAGCTGGGGGCCATTGGTGACCAGCCCCAGTCCTGACTCCAGGACACTCTGGGTCAAACAAGGAGAATGAAATGGGGAGGTACAATCTCAGCCCCCAGACCCCTGCCATAGGTGCTGCTGTCTCCCGCTTCCCTTGATTTTCTAGACTTGCTTCTATTCCTAATTTATCGTCAGAAGGACAGCCTTCTTTTCTCATATATGTACAACATCTGTAGTTGAAGAAGAAAGAAGTCACCTGAGAGACACGTGTTCTTGTGCACACACATGTATCTGCTTTTACATATGTGGAATCAGGTTAGACAACCAACTACTTGATTCTCTCTTCTCTCCCTCTGTACTGTATGTACTAGGGTGAATGTTGTTGTTTTTTAGTCGCTCAGACAGGTCTGATTCTTTGAAATCCCATGTACTGTAGCCCACCAGGCTCTTCTGTCCATGGATTTTCCCTTGCAAGAATATTGGAGTGGGTTGCCATTTCCTTCTCTAGGGGATCTTCCCGACTCAGGGATAGAACTCGCATCTCCTGCATCGGCATGCAGATTCTTTACCACTGAGCCATGAGGGAAGTCTGCAAGGTGGCCCCAAAACACACGTCCACCCAGAAGCTGTGAAGGTGACCTTACTCGGAAACAGAGCCTTTGCAGTCATAAAGAAAGAGGAGGTCGTATTAGAGCAGCGTGGGCCCCAATCTAATGTGACTGGCTTTCTTATAAATCTATATGAAAGAGATACAGAGGGAGGCCCGGAGCTGACAGAGGCACAGACTGGAGGGATGTGGCCACAAGCCAAGGGACACCAGAGCCACCAGAAGCTGGAAGAGACAAGGAAGGATGTTTCCCTGCAGCTGTGCTGACACCTTGATTTTGGAATCCAGCCTCCAAACTGGAGGAGGGCAAACTTTGCTTCTTTGGATCCCTTGTTTGTGGTCCTTGGTCACGGCTGCCCCAGGACACTCACACTGTCCTCTCCCTCTTTCCCCAGACCTCAACTTTTCCCTCACTGGACTATTCAGTGGAGGGAGTGTTCTGCGGTCGTGTTCCGTCCATTTCTCTGCGTCTGGTTCTCACTTTGTAGTGTGTTGCTGGTGAGGTCTGCCTCCCCGGATCCTGAAACCTTGACTTCAGTGGCTGCAAGGATTCCCTTTGTCTTAGCTTGTGAGCAGCCCAGGCCCCTTGGCTCCCAGCTCCGCCTCTTCCTGGCGACTCCTGTGCTGTGGAGGGCTGACCAGCTCATCCTGGTTCTGTTCCTCTCGTTTCCACATTGTCACTGCCTTTGCAAACCCTTTGCTCATCCTCCTGGGACTGTTTGTCTTCTCCTTACAAGTTTATAAGACTTTCACCTCTTAAAGAAACAAACTGCCTTCCAGGATAAGTACATTTCCATCACCATTTCTCCCTGGATCGTATGGATAAAGACTGCAAGTATTTATGTTGTCCTGTCTGTCTTTTCCTGGAAGGCTGCAGGGTTTTCTTTTAAAGTAGTTTTTGTTGTTTGTTTAAAGTATCCTTTTTAAAAGGCTTCCCAGATGGTGGAATATCCATCATGGTCAAGTTTTGTCTATTTTTATGCTCAAATCTTGAATATTCCTCAAGGTATGTTTGCAAGCGGCATGTCACAGGTCTAATTTTGCTTCCTTTCCAGGAGGACAAGTGGTGCCTGGGGCACTGAAGAGTGAAGCTCCCTGTCCCCCTGGCCAAGGCACCCCCACCATGTGGGGCTATTCAGGCTCTGCCAAGCCACGAGGTACAGTTACTATGCTGCCCATTGTGCGTTTTCACCCCTGGGAAGGCAGGTTCTCTCTATGGCTGTTTATCTTTCCTTTGACATTCGGTTTGCAGAAGAACATTAACACAGTTTTAATCAATTTCTTTCTTTTTTTTTTAAGAACCAAGAATTTGGTGATTGAGTGAAGAGAGACAGCTGCCCTGATCCTGCCACAACCTGCTCAGCATAATGCAAGAGAGGCTGAGATTTCACAGGTGGACACAATCCAGTAGCTGCCTTTCAGCAATTGCCAGGATGGGGCATAAATAGCTCATCACTATTACTTGCTGCTGAGAACCTCATGTGATGGAAGGTTCTAGAAAGAGGTGTTGCAACTTCCTGTGCTGGGGCTTTTCCTGGGGCCTCTGATGAGATCTGCTGAATTCTTTTGCTGAGTATTTTTTTATAAAATAACTCTCCTTAAATTGGAAGGTTCTCATACACAGAATGGTGCCCAGTGAACCATAGGGTCCAAAGGCATCCTTGCTGGTGGTGGACAGTGACTCCTGGCCCCTAGCCGGAGCCCTCGGGGCTGCCTGGAGGGAGACCCTTGCCCAGGGGTGTCCTACCCTGAGGCTGCCTGAGCAGGCAGGACATTCATCTTGTGTGCTCTTCTCTGGCCACTGATCTGTCCTGGAGGAAGCCTTGGGCAAGACCCCCAGCATTTCCAGTCTCCTCAAGATCTCCTCTTGGGCCCCAGCCACTCTGCTGCTTCCACTGACCTCGGAACAGCCTTTGGTTCCCCTGTTTCCTATCGAACATGGGCCTTGGTGTCCCATCGACGGAGAGGCAGGCCATGTCTCCCCAGGCTGAGGAATACCTTCCGAGGGAGGCCTGCCCACTGGCCCCCAAGCCTGGAGCAGGCAGGTGTCCTCAGGGTCACATGGAGGGTTCACCCCCCCCAGGGAACCATAGGAAGAGTGCCACCTAAGCCTGTGCTCTGAGAGCAGCGATCCCTCACTGTGTGAGAGGGGGAGCCTCCTGCCGGGTGACCTGGCATCATCACCGAATGCCCAGTGCAACCAGGAGACTTAGTGGGAAGGGCAGGTGTGTTCTTTCTGGGAGGGAGCTAGCCAGGGGTCTATAGTAGTATCCAGAAGGAACCTCACCCCCTCAAAACCTTTCCTCATCACGTTTCCCGGGAGCTCAGCGCTACATCTCCATCAACCCAGCCCCTATTTGAGTGTAGTCCTACACCAGGACCCTCAGCCCCCGCCCCTCCAGCTCTCACCTGCGACCAGGTAACCAGCTCCTCCACGCCCGCAGCTGCAGCCTGTCTGTGCGCTGGTCTGAGCGGCTGGACTAAACCTGAATGATGATCCCAGGGCGGAGCCAGGAAAGGAGGAGGCGGGGATGATTCAGAATCCAAGCACGTGGGGTCTGACACCCAGGTCCTATATTCAGGAAGGAAACTTCAAGTTATGGAAAGACACTCGAGTTTCCTATAAAACCAGAGACAATTACTTTGCCAACAAAGGTCCACCTAGTCAAGGCTATGGTTTTTCCAGCAGTCATGTATGGATGTGAGAGTTGGACTATAAAGATAGCTGAGCGCAGAAGAATTGATGCTTTTGAACTGTGGTGTTGGAGAAGACTCTTGAGAGTCCCTTGGACTGCAAGGATCCAACCAGTCCATCCTAAAGGAGATCAGTCCTAGGTGTTCATTGGAGGGACTGATGGTGAAGTTGAAACTCCAATACTTTGGCCACTTGATGTGGAGAACTGACTCATTTGAAAAGACTCTGATGCTGGGAAAGATTGAGGGCAGGAGGAGAAGGGGACAACAGAGAATGAGATGGTTGGATGGCATCACCGACACAATGGACATTGGTTTGGGTGGACTCAGGGAGTTTTTGATGGACAGGGAGGCCTGGCAACTGCGGTTCATGGGGTCGCAAAGAGTCAGACATGACTGAGCGACTGAACTGAACTGAACTAAACTGAACTCGAGTTTTAGGAACTGCCCTGAGTTCAGGGGAAAAGATCATTTTCTTGATAGTGAATTCCTTA